AAAGTCCCGCCCATCTACGTCCGACCCATGGGACCTTATTTCGGAAAAATCATGTATTGAAGTCAATGGAGAGAGAAAACGTATCGTTCGGTTCCGTTTGAATTGTGCCACGAATTACACATATGATGTTTGTCAATCTTAAAATTAATTTCCATGTCAAAAAAGTCACAGTTTGTCGTAAAACTGTTGAAAGATAAGACTATGAAAAATACGCAACTAGAAAGACTACAAATCCCAGAATCCCGGTCCTGCATGCTGGCTCTACCAAGGCACACAGGGGATAGGTTCGCCTCATTCTGAAAAGAAAAAGAAGTGAAATGTGCCAACGTGACGGCCTATCCCCTGTGTGCCTTGGTAGAGCCAGCATGCAGGACCGGGATTCTGGGATTTGTAGTCTTTCTAGTTGCGTATTTTTCATAGTCTTATCTTTCAACAGTTTTACGACAAACTGTGACTTTTTTGACATGGAAATTAATTTTAAGATTGACAAACATCATATGTGTAATTCGTGGCACAATTCAAACGGAACCGAACGATACGTTTTCTCTCTCCATTGACTTCAATACATGATTTTTCCGAAATAAGGTCCCACGGAGCTCCCCCGGAAAGGGAGGGACTTCGCCTCTCTATAATAACTTTTTTAATGGTTTCCTCCTCACCTGAAAAAATATGAAAACTCAATAATAGTTACATTTTTGATTTAATTTGATTGTATTATACAAATATGAGCCCAACTAAAAAGGTCTTGAGTTGGCCCTTCTTAAAAGTATGAGCAAAATGAAATATGTATGAACTTCCACATGAGTGTGACACTAGAGCAGGGGTGTCCAAACTACGGCCCGGGGGCCAAATGCGGCCCGCGGGCCATTTTTAATTGGCCATCAGCTAATTCCAAAAGTATAATGAAATATGGCCCACAAATGAAACTTGTGCTTGTCTTGTATTGTACTTATCAAATATATATGTAAACATGTATGACAATTAAAGTTGAAAACTATTTCTAACCGATCTAAGTTGATCAGAAAAAAGCCCAATAACTTATTTGTGTAACAATCTTGAAATACACCCTTCATATTTCCTCTTATTATAATCAATCTGAAGCTTCTGTTTTAAGGGATGAGCTGCTAACAAAATAAAGGAAACCCTCTGGAGAGCTGGGATGTAGGCTGTTGGTTTTCTTAAAGCATTTTCAAGTATCAAGCATCATTTACCTACATTTGATTGATTTTGCTAACTTATAACTGAACTTATGAGGCAAAATACTTCTCCTCTAGCGAGCGGCCCAGCCCTTCCTATATTTTTCTGTATGTGGCCCTCTGTGAAAAAAGTGTGGACTACCCTGCACTAGAGGGAACTGTTCATAGACAGTCAGGTACATTGTGAGACATCACCTGTCTTGTTGTGTTCACAGATTGAGACTCACTCTGAGACTCTGGGGTCGTTCTGCGGGAACACGCCTCCCCCCTCTCCCTTTCTCACTCACTCTCATCGTGTTCAAATCCGCTTCATCTCTGATGGCTACGGCACTAACAAAGGCTTCAGTCTGGCCTTCAGGACCAGAGGTACTGCATTCTCCTCACATGAGACACCATAGAGAGGTGCAGGGATCACATGTTTTTGTAGGCAAACTCTGAAGTTAGGGTTCGCTCGCTAAAAAGCAATGGGATGTTTCCATTGGATTTCACAATATTACTGAAAATAAGATCTGTGGAAAACAAACGTTATGATTCTAACGTGTTGTTTTCAGCACGGTCCTTTCTACATATGTTATATTCATTAGGTCACGTCACCGCCGCTAAGCTAAGGGTGGCTAATGTTTGGAGTGATGACGTTTAGTAGTCTCATTTAGACACTTTGATAGCAAGTTTCATTTTCAGACATTCACGAGAGGGAAATTTACATACGTCATTTACAGACGTTATTTCAGGCGTCTAACCAAAGAGATGTTTAAAAAAAACTTGAAAGACAGGGCAACCAGAAGTGGTAAAATGCTGACTAATATCCGTGTTTTAGGACTCATTACTGCACCACCTAATGGGAAGATTGTTTGTTATGAAGTTTGTTTGATCACAAAGTATCACAATTGCTCCTTTCACATGTTGATTACAGATAAGGTGTGTCCGGCGGTGGTGACCTCTGACTCCACTGTGACGCCTCAGCAGGCAGAGTATCGTCGGGGGGAAACAGTGACAGCAACTTGTGATCTAGGCTACGTCGCAAATACTGTGAGTGTGCAGAACCTTTTTAATGTATTTAAATGCGATGTATTTATACCCCTGTTACGCTAATTAAATCATTCTTTTGCAAAATAGCAAGGCACCCAGGCCCTGATAACACAGTATGAGACGACATGCCAGGACATAGGCGAATGGACTCCCAATTACAAATGTGAACGTGAGTCTGACTATCGGTTCCTTCTTAGCTGGAGAATGTATCCTGATTCTTTTTCTTTTTTCATACTGACACATTTTCTTCATTGGACCACATTTAGCTGTTGATTGCGGTTATCCTGATATCCCAGAAGATGGCATCCTTCAGCTGGTGGAGTCAGATAACACCCAGACAAAGTACAAAGACCAGATCCAGTTTCACTGCAGCTCAAAGTACTACACACTGGAAGGAGATGGTAATTAAATAGATTTAGATTGTACACATCCATTGTCTGATTGCTTACATAAAAGTGTTCTGGCTTTGTTGTTTCCCCAATCCTCTTTCTTCCATCTTTCAGACACGTACACCTGCAGCGCCAGTGGTGATTGGTCATCAGGGAGTGGCAACACAGAGATGCCAAAATGCATTGAAGGTACGACTTTCAGTTTGCCACAGATCTTATTTTCTGCTATATTCCAAAACCCAAATTCTTGAGGGGGGGGGGAAGCGCTGTGCGATGCTAACTTCCAGGTCGTCCTACAAAAATACAATATTCCTGCACCGCGCTATTAGTTACATTTTTGAATTATGAATCTATTGATGATATTTTGTGTATTACAGTGTGCGGGAAGCTTGACAGACACCTAGCAAGTGCCGGCAGAATTGTTGGAGGTAAGGATGCAACCCTGGGAGAGATACCTTGGCAGCTTCTGATTATCGGTCGGGGCAGAGGAGGAGCGACTCTGATCAGTGACCGATGGGCTGTCACAGCAGCTCATGTGGTGGAAGGTAAGAAGGTAGAAGCTACCCGTGTGTACGGTGGACTGGTAGACGGAGGAACAAGAGAAATATTGCCTAAAGGAGTTCTGTTGGACATTGAGAGGATCATCATTCATCCCAACTACGCCCAAGGCATGGCGGACCGCAACAATTTCGACAATGATATTGCTCTTATCAGATTCTCTTCCAGGGTGAATTTGAGCCCAAACCTCCTTCCCGTCTGTCTGCCGCAGTCGAACAGGGGCTTTAGTGACGGTGAACATGGCACGGTGTCAGGCTGGGGGGGGACGGAGACTGCAGGGATTTCTGAAACCCTGAAATACGCTCATATTAATGTCTACTCCTCTACAGTGTGTCAAAATACACCGGGAACTCCCAAATCCACGGTTCATGGGATAACTCCCGAACCCATGATGTTCACCCGTAACATGTTCTGTGCTGGATCTGCTACAGCGGACAGCTGCAGGAGGGACAGCGGGGGTCCGCTGGTGATGCCCATGGTGCTTGAAGGCAATGAGCCCTACTATCTGACCGGCATTGTGTCCTGGGGAGCCATCTGTCGTCAGAAGCAGTTCAAGGGTTATTATGTCAAGGTGGAGAATTATGTAGCCTGGATCAAGGAGACAATGGATTCAGTCGAGCAATCCTAGAAGGAGACTACTTTTTTACTAACCTTTATATCGTTATAATCCAAGTCTGATTCAGATCTTAGAATAGACTATACTATTGTAATGGCGTATCAACATTAATAACATTAAGCACGACCTTCTTACTACACTTTTGTATTAAACACATCTGCAAATATACTGCAGAGAGTGTGGGCTTTAACCAACTTCATAACACGATGTATCTTTGTCTTTTAATCAGCTTATACACTCTGTCTGTAACTTGACATCCATTCCCTGGAACGCTTCATTATTTCATGATTGAACTGTAAATCAAAATGTTTTTGAGCGCTGTGTGTTTCCCTGATACTGAAGTGCTCTCACATGACAAACAATAAAACTTCATAACTCATGTTGTTGCTCTCCTGTTTACATTTTGTATTTCTAGCATACATTCAATGTTCATAGACAACCACAAACCAAATGTCATGTTTCTCTAATTTGATGTGTTTGTTTGTTTCAAAGTATATTATTAACACGATTGTCTTTGACCAGGAGATAGTGTTTGACTAACCTCTAAATGAAACGCCTGGCTTCTGTGTTTGAAGACGCTGAAAAAGACTAGCAGCCCCCTCTAGTGATGGATTCAGGTTTTATGAGGAATTAACATATTGGACCTGAAAGCTACAATTATAATCAGTGTAGTTTTTCTCAATAGATAATAATGTATAGTTCAAAAGCTCTTCCTAATTGTGTATTTCAAATGAACTATTCCCCGCATCGACCCTGTTTTCTACATTTTTAAAATCACGAGCTTGTTTCGATTTTGCCAAAACAAACAAGGCTTATTCCTGGCATTAACGCAGAGAGTTGCTAAACACTGCAAACGACGGGAATTAATGTTTCACTTGAATGTGAGACATTTCCCCAAACGGCAGAGGATCATTTCACTCACGGATAAATCCTTAAATCCTTAAATCCTTAAATCCAGCGATGGCGTGGACTTCCTGTATCATCTTGTAAGTTTGGATTTAGTTTTCAACCCATTTTTATGTTTCATTGTAATAGTTTTTGTCATTAATGTCTAGGTTGATTCCAAAATTAACTTTGATTACCATCTGTCATTATGGAGCTGCTTTTTTAATCACCTTGTGTTTTATTCTGTATAACCAATATTACAGATACGCAGTGTTTTATAGGTTGTCTGCCTTTCAGTAACTCACATATTAAAGCCTTAACAATATACGCTTGCCACAGTTGTGTTGATTGTGTCACGTTGTTTACTCTTTTCTCTGTTTGCGTTAACTTTGGACCAGCGGTTCAGATGATAACTATCTGATTTAACTCTGTTTGCACTTCATCCAGGTTCCTGTCAGTGTGTGTGTGTGGGGGCCGGCGGCTGCCAGACTCCGAGCCTGCGATGCACGGGGGGGTCCAGTCCCCCCTCTACCCCCAGCCGTACCCCCCCAACCTGCAGCAGCAGTGGGACCTCAGCGTGCCGGAGGGATACCGCATCACACTCACCTTCACACACCTGGACATCGAGGCTACTGCAGGCTGCTTCTACGACTCCCTCTCAGTCAGAGATATATTTATTCATTTGTTTATTCCACACATGGCAGTTATTCTGAAACAAAACATGTTCAACTTTACAAAACATGCACACTTATACTGGTTTTTTTTTTTTATAGTACATGGTGGAAAGGAGCAGGGAGAAGAACAGCTTAATTGACCTGCCCCTTCTTACAAAAAAAAATGAAATAACCATTATAAAGTAAAATAAAAGCAATATTCTTTCAGTCACAGTCGCTTACAAATACTGAAACAAAACCCCAAATGACCCCTAATTAGACTTTCTTGCTTGCAGCCCTTTAAATCATTCGGTAAAGAATTTCACTTCTTTACACCAACTACAGAGACACACATCTGCTTTAGAGTAGTGCGTGCAAACTGATGCTTAACATTTCATTTCCTCCTATGTTGCTCCTCCTCTGAAATGTCCACCTGAGTTGTAGTGTTTGTAGTTTGACCAGTGCTGTGTAATGCAACTCAACACATTTACACATGTACTGTACTTTAGTACAATTTAGATTTACTTTACCTGTGTATTTTCATTTTATGCTATTTTATACTTTGACTCCAATGCATTTCGGAAGCTACATTGATTTGACAGCTGTAGTTACTTACTTTGATAGACACATTAATGCATCAATAATCATAATCCAGTCATTTAATATTCATCATTCTGAAATGGGCAATAACACAACGAGTATATAGTATAGTATATTTTAATGCCAATTTATCTGTTAAGTAAGAATTTTAAATCAGGACTTTTAATCTTTTTTTATAACAGTATTTTTTACAATGTTAGTATTGCTAATTCTTCTTAAATAGTCCATCTGAGTACTTCATCCACCACTCAATGTGACTCAAGTGCCAGTTTGAAAAACCTGACTAAATATTGACAACATTTTTTCTGCCAAAATGAACATACCTTTTCAAGTTCTGCTGATTTCCCCAAATAGGCATTAGAGTATCCCAGTATAATTAACTGCATGATGGGTATCACTAAAATACCTCTGTGAGCTTCCTAGCAAAGCTCTCTGGTAAACGCTTCCTCCCATTTCCCATTTAATGGTGTCATTTAGATAATTAAACCACTTTCTGTTTTGTGCTCGCTGCCAACTAATTCCCCACATACTAATTTCCCCCCAAACAGATGTGAATGTGTTCTTTTTCCAATATACTAAACTACAACTAGTTTTACATATGCCAGGTCAGAATTTTAAAGGCAAGATTTGCATATAGGCCTACTATCTCAAAATAGTTATACAAATCATACAAATGAATTGTGTTTCTAGTCACCACATTTAGCTCCGTTTTGCTCTCTGCTGACTCGACAGAAGAATTGTTTTTGAGATTTGAACTCTAAATCTAACTTAGACCACTCTTGACTTTGTCTCCTGGTTCGGTGACTCAACAGCAACACTGCAGTAGATTCAGCTGCGCAGTGTATTTTACATTATCTTTTCTTTCAGGTTTTCTACGATAAAGAGGTCCTCGGGAAGTTTTGTGGCCATGAGAACTCAGCTGATGGACATTACCCCGGCAACCAGCCCATCTTGTCTCCAGGCAACAGACTCAGCCTCGTGTTCCAGAGCGACGACAACAACCCGGAGCGCCGCCAGAACGTTGGCTTCTCCGCTCAGTACCAGGCAATAGGTAGCCTAGGAGCCTAATATGTTTGTTTTTGTTATATTATTTGGTTTAGATATATCTTGCAGTATTATTCTGGATACTCGGTGGTGGTATTTAGATGCACTGTAAGTCAAAATAGAGGCAAAGGAAAAGGGGGCGCTCAAAGTTCCTAGCGGACCTACAGACCATACCACATCAATGCTACTACTTTCTAAATTGGTAAACATGGTATGTTCCTCTCTATAGTATCAGTATCTTCCCCAACATGTTGACTGTTGGTGATCAAACCACCTATCTTCTGGTTGTTGGACAACTCTACTTCCTTCTAATCCCACAGTCTGTGTTCAACTCTTCCATAAAACGAAAAAACTAAAGTGCTTAAAACGCAGCTGTAAAATATTATGGTTTGTGTCTGGTTAGATCACCTACCTGTCTATTATTAGTGGCAAGTAGAAAAGAGGACATTGAAACATAATAATTGCCATTACAGGAAGCACAACAAGGGGAACTTGACTTGCAGCTGAGCACAATAAACAACAACAGAAAACACAGAACAATACAAACAAGTAAAATATAATAGATTAGGATGGTACAGTCCTTAGTGTTGGCAGAACGTAGCATTTACCTTTTGAGCAAATTCAGCATGTTTATTGCACTATAAAAAAATAAAATAAAAAAAGAACATATCAATGGTAACTCTTCCACCACTGATCCTCATCCCTCTAACCCAGGGGTCTCAAACTCAAGGCCCAGGGGCCAAATCCGGCCCACGACTTCATTTGATGTGGCCCCGCAAGAGCTTGCAAAGACTATAATACGTTTATTTTACGGTTACATGCAATTTTACAGAAGCAGGTTGCCCATAAACTACATGTCCCACAATGCATCTTGTTATGTGACATGCGCACTGACGAAACTTGCAATTATTTGCCCTAGACTTCTGCTTTCAGACGTAGTTAATTACTAAGTTATTATTCTATTCAATAATAATCCAATTCAGACAATAATGTAATATAATACATTATTTTATATATATATTATATATTTATATAGTTACAACCGGCCCTTTGAGTGCAACCTTTATGCGAATGTGGCCCGTGATGAAATTGAGTTTGACACCCCTGCTCTAACCCAACGTGTCTTTTATCATCAGACATAGACGAGTGTTCTGATCCAGATCCTGAAGACGGCTCAGGTCCGCTCTGCTCTCAGATCTGCCTCAACACCCTCGGCTCGTACCTCTGCTCCTGTCACCACGGATACGAGCTCCGCTCAGACCAGCGCGGCTGTGTGTGTGAGTGTTGAGTATACAGACTGTGTCCATGAGCTTAAAGTTGTAAGAGGGAAACAACATGTACGCTGCAAACTAAATGTGACTCCTCCAGGTACATTTCTCTCCAGTCTGGGATTATTATTTTCTGGTTATTTAGTTTGTATTGTTATCAGCTTTTGATCCAGAACTGCTACAGATGTTAATGGTTACTTCCTCTAGCCCATGCTACACCTTTTACCCAAGTTTAGGGTTAGTAGTTTTGCTCAACTGTCCTAAGTATATCTGCTTAAAGACAAACATACCGAGCGGAAATCATAACCTCCTTTGTGGAGTGAACAAACACTTTTATAAACATTAAATCTAAGTAAATATAGCATTGTTAAAATCCAAACAAGGCGGCAAACAACATGTTCAATTTCATGAATATGATTTGATGGTACGAGTTGGCTAAACAGCGGACGATTGAGCCACTGATGGTGAAGCATGAACAAAGCACCTGAACAAAGCATTTAACATCAATCTCCTTCTTTTGATTTCCCAGTATCCTGCAGCGGCGGTATATTTGATGAGCCAGAGGGACACCTGTTCAGTCCAGGATATCCTGACCCCTTGCCTCATGCTCTGTCCTGTCAGTACTTTATTTCTGTAGAATCTGGCTTCACTGTCGCTCTCAACTTCAATGACAACTTCCACATCGAGAGCGTGGACACTGAGCAAGGAACAATCTGTCCCCATCACTGGTTGCAGGTAACGACGAGCAGCCTCCTTACATTTCATATGAATAACTAAACAGATATAATAACTTAGCTGTGTCTTATTTAAAAGGTGACCGTCCCAGACAGCGAGCCCTGGAAGCTGTGTGGAGGAAAGAGTCCAGGTCTGATAGTCACAAGCTCCAACAGCGTCCGGCTGGACTTCCACACTGACGGGCAAGGCCTGAGCAGAGGCTGGAGCCTGGACTACAGCACACACAGTGAGGGGGGGGGGAGTGGGAGGAGAAATAAGCAATAAAAGTGCTGCAGGGAGGATGTCTTTTTGTAGGTGAACCCTGAAATTAGCATGGCCTTGGTTCCATCCACAAAAAGGCACATTTATTTTTCCACTCCATTTTGGACTATTGAGGAAAATAATCAGGATTGCAAACAAATAATTATGACTTTTTGAAATGATTTAATTATTTCACGTTTTGTTAAGCAAGATAATCTTCACAGCTGATCATCACTTCAAATGTGCCAGAAGTAACCCAACTTTTTTTTTTATCACAGATTAAGCTTCACATTTCAAGAGTGGGGTATTTACTTACTTATGTCGTAGCAAAACAAAAGAGAAAATATCGTTTAGCTTAAAGCTTGTTAAAGCTCTCCTATTATACTCTGTTTCATCAACATATGGTCTAAGATATATACAAAACATGTCTCTGAAGTGTTTGCCTCAAAAAACAATTGTAACATCACAACTTGGCCAAATCTGATTATCTCATTTCAGACAGATTTTTAAATAACCTTTAACATTCTGGGGGAAAATATTCATGTATAAAAGACAAGAAAAAGTGGATTTTGCATAATTGGTTACCTTTAACCACAGACTTTCAGACATCTTTCCAAAAAGACATGACCAATAGACTTTGGGATGAAGGAACTGGAAGTGCAAAAAAAAATGCTAACTCATGTCTGGGACCTAGACTCATTCCTGCAGCACTCTATTCATCAAGTGTCAGAATATGTTGGCAGAGAAACAGTGAAATGCATTTCCCTGCTCACTGTATATGCAGTACATGATACATGTCTGCTTGATATCGTTTCCAGGAGTGAAGTGTCCATTTTCTGGTAGTGTGGATCATGGCCGGGTCACCCCCGACCTGAGCGAGTATTTGTACAGAGACTACATCTTTGTGCGCTGCGACCAAGGATACAAACTCGTGACGGTTAGATCAAACCTTTTTTTGTTTCAATGGAGGGCACTTCTCTGTCATTTTGTGTTTTTACAAGTTCCCCTCTTTACTTTTTCAGGATGGTAAGGAGATTGACGGTTTCTCTACCATGTGTCAAAACAACGGACAGTGGCACCTTCCTCTCCCAGAATGCCACAGTACGTTACCTTTAATCTCCGTCAAAACATCCAATTTAACATAAATGGAAACTGATTTTGGATTCAAGCTTCAAGGCTTTTCTTGTCATGTGTGCATAGCTAGTGTAGATATGACAATGAAAATCTTAGGTCACAGGCTCCTCCAACAGTGCAACACAATAACACAGATACAATAGTGAAAGTGAATGCAATCATAGAAACAGAATATGATATAAACTGTGCAGAATAGTCTTTATACAGTAATTGAAATATTGATATATGTGTGAGTTGCAAACAGATGAATGTTATGTATGTTCTTTCAAAAGTTCACGTTCAGGATGCATGTGTAGTGTTCTTGACAATTTCCTGTGTTCCTCCATATGAAGATGTCCTTATTTTGTTTGTCCTGCAGTTATTGATTGTGGAGAACCTGAAGCTCTGCTGAATGGAGGGGTGAACTTCCTGTCTGGATCTCAGAATCAGTACCTTTCTGTTGTTCAGTATCACTGTCATGAACCATTTTACTCTCTCCTTGGAGGCATGAATGGTGAGATATTGATGTGTAATATGCTATCATGTACAGCTTAAGACTGTTCCCACATTCATACCAGCCATAACCCTCAGTTAGCAGACTCACACGCAACTTACATGGAACTGATAATGCACTTTGAAGGCAGACTGATTTCTTTACTGCTTTGCATCTTACCAATGTTATGTATTTTGCTGTTAATTCTGATGAATTGACAACTGGAGGAATATTTTAGAGTGTGAATGGAAATCAATGGAAGAATGGAAATGCATTCAATACAAAATATATTTTAAAACATATGTATTTTAAGCAAAGTTAAACCAAATGGGCTGAACAAATCAAAGCTACCTTAAACAGTAACCATAAAACAAGCTAGAGAACATTACCCACACTACTAAAAGTTTTGATAAGCAAAAAAATGTTTAGTATGTTTCAATACATGGTATGTCAAGAATACCAGGAAGCTCTACTGCATCAGGTCACATTTTGCAATATGCTACCAGGCATGCTTTTCTGGCTATTTTGAGCCACGATCCTTTGCACAGCGGATATATGAGCAAAAGGATGAAAGTTCAAGCAGCAATTTAAAGAGTATGTCCGACTTGTACGCATACAGCAGGCAACAGTCTGTACATGAGGGCCGCTGCAGTAAATAGGGAAAGTACAAAGTTAATATGCAGTGATTTAGAAGGCAGCCATTGTTTCACAGTCCTTTTAAAGCATCACTGATGGGTGTTGTTGCAGCTGTAGTAATCCAATAAAAGTGCCGTGAGGGACTAAACAAGAGAAAAACATTGTCTGACGCGCAAAAAAGCAGTCTTTCTACTGGTATGCGTTTGACCTTGTATTTGCAAACGAAACAAGCAAACATATAATTATTTCTAGTGCATATCCAGTATAGTGATTGCGTATGCGGTCAACAAAAATGTGTCCTTCCCCAGCTCACTCCATCTATAACAAAGTGCGCCGGTGAAAGCAACCGGATATAACCGCAAACGTCACCACCCTAAATCCAATAGACATGCCCACCACCTATAGTGACTCAAAAAATGTGACGTAACAAACACAGAATATACTTTACGTGTGGCTCCTACAGGTGTGTTCAGGGGTTTTCTGTTTCTCCTGTTACCACACACAACAGTGATACTGACACACACTGGAGTACACTTCTACTCAACTCACTGATTTGTCTTTATGACCCTCTCTCTACTCTGCAGTGGTCTTCACCTGTGAGGCCGACAGAAGTTGGAGATCCAACAGCGATATCGTTGTCAGTCCAGCATGCATACCAGGTACTGCTTTTCATTACAAAATAAAAACCTACAACACTTCATCTTAGTTTGAATTTGAAGTGTGCACTTGTGTGACACTTTGAACATAAATATATGTACTATAAACCTCTCTTTTCCACTCAGTCTGTGGCCAGCCCACAAAGCTCATCGCTGGCTTTCAGAGGATTATTGGAGGCGCTGAAGCTCCAGCCGATACCATCCCTTGGCAGGTGCTCTTGAGGAGTGGAGGAAGAGGAGGAGGCATGGTGATTGCAGACCGCTGGATCATGACAGCAGCTCATAACCTAATGTCTAATGGAAAGCCAGTAACAAACGACGCTGTACAGGTAAGTGTGCATAGGTGGAAGCAAGGCCGGATTAGTACCTCCAGGGGCCCCTGGGTACTGAGCACTCATGGGCCCCCCCCAACCCACGTACCAACAAGTAACACCACGCCTACCCAATCCTACCAACATGACCAATATTTAG